CATTACCTAAGAAAATGCACAGTCGATGCTACAGGATAAAATTAACAGTTGTGGAAAGTCCGAAGGGACTAGGATACTCTTCTGAGCATGAAATCCCCACTGAAGATTATTGGTTGGCTTCTGTGTGAATGCAAACAAATACTGACCATGCAAACATAGAGCCAGAGGGAGCCCGATAGAGGCCAGCCTCTGAGGGTCTAGATGTAAAAAGCCGAGAAATGGGACAGACTGGGAGCGCCCTGACCAGCATATTCTCCATCACAGCCATCAGTTACCTTTTGTTAGGTCCTTCTTCACTGTTTCCTAAAACATGCCTTTGGAGAAAGCAGTCTAGCTTCAAGATAGTTTTATCAACATAAACGTTTTACATTCCAGAGAAAGCAGCGTGTGCAACATAGGCCCTAGAAATGGTCAGGGAAAGGAAAGGAAGACACGCGTGCCAAAAAGGTGTCGTAGAATCACAGCACCTTGGAGTTTGACCCGAATTCAGTTCAGTGTTCTCACACGTAAAAGAGAAAAATGCATTAATGGCACCATAGAATGCTCCGACCTTTTGTGTCGAAGTTAGGTTATAGAAGGCAGTTCCGATCACTCAATTCCTCTGTGTGTGTGTGAGCGCGGGGAGATCCCTCACCACCAATGAGCAGTTCTCCGGGCACCAGCTGGGGTCCTACAATTTAACTTCATTCGGGCGCTACCTGGAGACAGCATCAGATCAAGGGCTCGATTTGCTGAGCGTGCCCTCCAGCGAGATGGCAATCTCAAGCCCAGGTTGTTCCTGTGTTTCTGACCGACTAGCCATAAAGTGAAGATCTAACAACCCTCCCCTTGGGTTCTGTTAATTTGCCGGATTGGCTAGCAGAAACCAGACAGACGTTTAACTTACTAGATCACCCATTTATTACAAAAGACAGTGACCCAGCAATAGCCAGATGGAAAAGCTGTATAGGGCAAGGTTGTGGGCAAGGGGCAAAGAGCCTCCAGCTCTCTCCTAGCATGCCACTTTCCCCAAATCTCCACGTGGTCGCCAGCTAGGAAGGTCCCCAACCATGTAGGATGTTTATAGAGGGTTCTTTACATAGGCAGGATTGATTCAATTATCGGCCACTGGCGATGGAACTCGTCTCCAGCCCCTCTCCCCTCCCTGGAGGTCTGGGGGCAGGACTGAAAGTTCCAGCCCTCACGTGCTTGTGTCCACTGAGGGGCCAGCCCCCATCTTTGGGTGAAGTCCAAAAGTCAGCTCATTAACTTCACAAAAGACACTTTGTTGGCTCTTATCACCTGGTAAACTCCAAAGGTTTTAGGAGCTCTGTGCCAGAAATGGGGATGGAAACCAAGTATATATTTCTTATTCTAAATCACAGTCTCAGGCCAGAACTGTCAATTCTTAGAAAGCCCCAGAGAGTCAACCAGGACTGCCTGGGTTGACACCCTGGCTCCACAGTGGATTTCCTGAGAAGAAATGAGCCTCAACTTCACTGTGCAGAGTTCTATGTGCTTGATCAACCTGAGGGCTCGGACAGCCAGTATGATCTGGAAGCACGTCTTGACAAAGGAAAAGCATCAGTTAGGAATCCTGGATACTTTTCTTCGGGTGATAGAAGACCGGAACCGGGCTCTAATTGTTACCTCGCTTGGTTCAGACTACCTGCGTTCCAGTGCCATTGACTTCCCCAGGTTTTGAGCTTGGGTCTGCCTCAAGGGCTTTCTGTTATTCCAGAAAGTCTCTGTGAAGATTCCAAGGACTTCTCAGTGAGGCTCCAATCTCTTGCCTTTCTCTATAGAATCATATATATATATATATATATATATATATATATGTATGTACATATATGTGTGCATATGTATGTACATGTATGTATGTACATGTATATACGTACGTATGTGTGTGCATATATGTGTGTACGTGTGTGTATATATGTGTGTATATATATGTATGTATATATATATACACATATATATATGTATATACATATTATTGTGTATATTATATATGCACACACATACATTATGTGTGTATTATATATACACATACATATATATACATACATATATTATACATATATAATATATAATATACATATAATAATATAATATATATTTATATTAAAATATTATATTATATTTCAATTTATATATATAATTATATTGAAAATAATAATATATATATATATAAAATTTCCCTCTAGCCTTGTGAAATTTCTGAAATCATCCTTTAAAAGGACAGGAACATTATCTTCCAAAGATAATGTGTGTGTTAAGTATTCATTAATAGGAAGAAAAGTAATGGAAAATTAATGCTTAAAGTGGAAGCCAACTTACATGGTTTCTCCCTTAACCTCCTAAGTTATTACAGGTGTCATCCCCATTTCCCAGATGAAGAAACTGAGGCCCAGCAAGGTTAACCAACTGTGCCTTCAAGCAGGGGCTGAACAGAAATTCTTGATGAATTTCTGCTTGGCTGCGGGTGCCCGAGCACCTTTCTTCACAACACATGGCATATTTTTTTTTCAAAAGCTTATTTATTTATTTATTTTGAGAGAGAGAGGGAGAGTGTGCGGGAGGGGCAGAGAGAGAGGGAGAAAGAGAATCCCAAGCGGGCCCCTGAGCCATCAGCCCAGAACCCAACTCTGGACTCAGTCTCAGGAACCATGAGATCATGACCTGAGTCGAAATCAAGAGTCAGACGCTCAACCGACTGAGCCCCCCAGGCGCCCCACACGTGGCATATTTTTATCGTTTATTTGAAACATAAATTGTGAGCTTGAAAACCCAAACATTACCTACGTTCTTTTTTTCTAGCCAACTCCTGTAAGGTACAAAGTTAGAGACATGACGGTCCCCACGGCGATGTGGACGGGGGGTCAGGACTGGCTTTCAAACCCAGAGGATGTGAAGACACTGCTGGCCGAGGTGACCAATCTCATCTACCATAAGAACATTCCTGAATGGGCACATGTGGACTTTATCTGGGGCTTGGACGCTCCTCACCGTGTGTACGATGAAATCATACACCTGATGAAGCAGGAAGAAACCAGCTTTTCCCAGGGAGTGTGTGGCATCCGATTGTGAAACCGTGGACACTGACAAGTCTCAGAAAAGCCTCGGGGAAGAGGGAACCCTTAAATGGAGGATTTTAAGGATTTCCAGAATTGAAAACCTACCATATGAGTAGGGGGGTGGAGAAGGGAGGACAAAGGTATAGTACATATTCCTTGAGATTTCCTATATTTGACACTAAAACTGACATTTAAATTTTTATCAGCTAATTAAAATATTGATTGGGTGAACATAGGTTTCATGTGTCAAATTCTACCATCCTGAAGGGTAAATTTTACCTGACCGCTAGAGGTTATCTAGGATTTCTATGTCATTCAGAGAGAGCCCCTTAAAATGTTAGTTTTCTTCTATAAGCCATCTATTTGGACCAGTCAAGTAAAATGACTGATCGGGACAGAGACAGAGGTCTTGAATCTCTGGACTGTTGTAACCTTGACAAAATAAGCTGGACATTTTCACCTTATTGCTGTAGAGACATAATACTACTCCAGGAAGCTGAGCTGAAGAAAGAAAGAAAGAAAGAAAGAAAGAAAGAAAGAAAGAAAGAAAGAAAGAAAGAAGAAAGAGAAAGAAAAGGGAGGGAATGAAGGAGAGAAGGAAGGAAGGAAGGAAAGAAAGAGGAAGGGAGGGAGGGAGGGAGAGGACAATATGGATGAAATACATTTTAAGCCCCATTAGAAAGGGCCAGGGTTTTATAGTTAAGTCTCAGAGGAAATAATTTTGTGAGGAATTTAATGAGTTTTCCATAAGCACGTTACGCACTCCATGAAGCACGTATATGTATTTCAGTACCTAGCACCTAGCCCAGCTCGTTTGAGAGTTCATTGACTGACGCTAGAAGACCTAATGTCCACAAATGTCTGCCCCGGTTTTCTGCCTTCAAAAACGAAAAACTAGGAAGAAAGTATTAGAATGTCATGAGCATAGAGACAACAAACTGTCAAATATTTTATTCTTTGATCTTGATAACTGCCCAGAGTCAGTCACAAATAGAAGAAAATGCTCAATTTTCACACCGTCTAAAAGATGACAGTTACGGTCACACATGAGTGATAGCGTAATTTTGCAAACCAAATTGAAGGTACACAGGTGCGTGTGGAAGGTACACTGGTGTGTGAAGTTCATTTGTTGATTCCGTCCCCCAGAGCCACCTGCTAACTCAATTCGGTGCCATGTATCTAAAATAATTTCAGAGACACGTAGGGGCTTCTGAATCTGTATCTACACACTACTATTTCCTTCACAAAACATACACCTTAAGGCTCTGTACAAAGCTCAATAAATATTCCGGATTTGATTTTCATTAGCCCTTTGTTCTGTTCAAGGATGGTAAATCTTTTCTTCTTAGACTGTTCATTCGTGACCTCATATAGTGTGTGATACGTCTACACTTCAGTCCATGTCTAAAGATATTAATGATTCAGTCCTGCTTGACGAAATTTTATCATTTTTAAAATGTGTTTATTTCTACTCTGTGTCATTGACACAGGACTTGAGAAATGTATTTTGATATTCACTATCTCCCTTCTGGAAGTATAATGCAGATACCATCTTTTCCTCTTTCTCTATTTATTGTAAAGAAATCCTTTGTCCCACGTTAATAATAATATTTTGAATTGTATCAATGAAAATAAACAGAAAGAACAACCTTACTAGCTGCCTGGTATTCACGAGAGAATCATAAAGGTGTTTTTGAAGGAACATTTTTCTCTTAAATGTTTATTTATTTCTGAGTCAGAGAGAGAGCATGAACGGGGGAGGGTCAGAGAGGGGGAGACACAGAATCCCAAACAGGTTCCAGGCTCCGAGCTGTCAGCACAGAGCCCCACGCAGGGCTCGAACTCACGGACCGTGAGATTGTGACCTGAGCCCAAGTCGGACGCTCAACCGACTGAGCCACCCAGGCGCCCCGTGAGGAAACATCTTGATAGTTGCCTAATTTTGTTCATAATTAAGACGGATTTTACTTATAAGCTGACAGCAAAATGTCTAGAGGTATTCTAGTTAAATTGGCTCTCGGGAAAGAAAAAGAAAAAGCCCTGGCTTGTAGGATTTCCCAACATGACTGTGGCCTAAATACCCCCACCCCTGACGACTGATAGATGGTTTTATTGAAGTTGTTTCACCAAATGAATATTTACATATGAAGCTCTCCCCCCACCGCCCCCCCCAACACATCATTCTATACAAATATATCTACTTCAAACCTTCCTCTTACCACTCAAAAGGACGGAGAGAAACAGTCGTTTTTTGGGTATGATATAGACAGGACCACCTCTTGGTCACAGTGGCACACCTGAGAAGAGAGGACCGAGCCAGCCAACTGCGATTCTCTTCTTCAGGACCAACCGGGGTGGAAATGTCACTTTTGTGTTGACCAAAGTGGAAACTCCCACGACTTCAGTGTTTCTTCTAGAAAGATTATGACCATGGTGAACTCCACTGGGAGAAAAAAAAAAATCATCAGTACAAAGCTCTTCCACAAATGTCACCATGGCAACCGCCATTAGGGTTACCCATGGTAACCGTAAAACTGCAGCATCCAGGTTGAGCGGTCCACAGACCGATTGTCCAAAAAGGAGAGAGAACACGGCGCTTTAGTTTCTTTCTACTTCTCCACGTGAGGCCTCTAGGATTACGATGCTTTCCTTAGCATTGACTCAATCTGGGAAAACTTCAATCTCCGTGCAATGTCCAGCGAAGTCTCACCATGCTGAGGAGAAAAAGAAATTACGGTCCTTTGTCTCCAATGCAGTCCAAGGTCGATGCAAAAGGCCTAGCAAACAGTCTAGACCAACTGACTTACAGGCCCGGCAAGGGCTCTGAAGGTCATTTGGTTCTAACAGGAATAGGACAACGTAATTCCTTAGTGAGGACAATTAGCTTTGTTGTCAACATCAGAGGCAATTAATTCAGCCCAAGTTAGGAGATGCTGTTGCTAGAAGGACATCGGACCACAGCCCACAGATTCTTACCCGATTCTTGATCATGGGGTCTGCATGAGCTTCAAGGAGCAGAGGGATGAGATTCTGGTTTTTCATTTCGCAGGCGTAATGTAACGCGGTGCAGCCGTACTGAAACCGAAAGACCAGCAGTGAGTTCGTCGTGGGCTCTACGGACCCGGCACACGGCTCCTTCGGCAAGCACCTGTCACATCCTAGAGCGTCCCCCCAAGCAGACCGGTCTGCAAATCATCCACGCACACCCACTTTTCTTGTATTTCAAAAGCCTTCCCTGCCTCCATGTGTATATGGTTAACGTCCTATAAGCCATTAATATCTTCCTTTCTCATTTTCTGTTCCAAACTTAACACAACCTGCAAGAAGTTAACGCTCAATTGTCTCAAGGTTTCTTGGTGGGATTTTCTTGGTGGGATTCTATGTCTGGGCAATCACCGCCTCGATCATAGTACCGTCTTTTCTCCTCAAGGGTCCCCACACGGGCTTTTTTGCAAATATCATCCCCCGTGGTTGTTGATCAAAATCCCCGCAACCTGAAGACGGTGCTCATGTCACTACAGCCCAGCTCCAGGATCGGTGCAGTTAGTTCTATGTAGAAACCTCTCATGCGTGGTTTGCTGTGGCTTATATTCTGCATTCTGAAATAGCGGATCTACTCTGCTGGTACTAACTTAAAACACCAACTACAAGGGAAAAGAGATGGATAGCTAGGGTGTTTGTGCCCCAGATATTGCCTTTCAAAAAGCAGCCCAACAACCATGGTTTGGGTATGTGACGAATTAATGCCAGACCTTATCAACTCTTCTAAGAGCATAACGGATAATGCTGCAATTGCTGATTTTTCTTAAGTGACAACATCATGCACCAAAGAGTTGGCTTTGAACTTTTCCATGTGAAATAAAGTGAGTTTAATTACCTAGAAATACAATGCACCGCATTACTTAGAGTTGGAAAAACTATCTGAATATTCAGATAGTCTTAGAAAAATGGTGGTGCGTGTGTGTGTGTGTGTGTGTGTGTGTGTGTGTGTGTGGAATGTAACAGTCCAGCTAGAGATACATATCGAGAAGCAGAAAAATATCCTAGAGAAATTTTGATCACAGGCAAAGTTTCAAACCTTTTGAATTTCAATGAAAGGACCAAGAAAAACCTTCAGCGAACCATTCACCCAATCTTTAATAACATCTTACTTAATACATTTTGAAGTTTTCTAAGGAATGACAGAGCACCATAGTCGTCTATCCAAATTAACCCAAAAATTCTATTTTCTTTTTTTCTTTTTTTTTTTTCATGTTTATTTATTTACTTTGAGAGAGGCAGAGAGAATCCCAAGTAGGCTCTGCACTGACAGCGACAGTGACACGGGGCTCAATCCTATGAACTGTGAGATCATGACCTGAGTCAAAATCAAGAGTCAGATGCCCAACAAACTGAACCACCCAGGTATCCCCCAAAATTCTATTTTAAATAAAAGGAAAAACATACACTGCAGTAACTTATTCTCCTGTGTTCTTTCTCTCTCAATCTCTCACACACACGCACACACACGTAGAGCTACCTCTGTTTAAACATATGATGATACCAATAGAATCAAAACTAAAATGATGTAAATAATTAATAGAAACAGGGATGGGCACATTTTCTCTCTCACAGAACAATGGTAACACACACACACCCACAGAGATGCACACGCCATAAAACAAATCAAGGATCACAGAATATTGGTTCGTGTCTACTCAAATTTCAACTTGCCTCCTTTCTCAATAAACAATTGGGAATCCAAAATTTCATCCAATCAATATAAGCAAATAAAACGTCATACAAATAAACATCGGGCCCATTTATGATCATTTAAGGGAGGAAGAGGGGCGCAGGGTGTAAGGGTGAAAGGTGAGAACAAAACCTTATATTTAGTTAGAGACAGGAAGAAGTTCACTGCTGCTTGCTTATCACGCCCTCCGCGCCACTTGGGCTCTTTGACTTTGATCCTTATCCATGGAGTTTACAGGTGGGGACTCGCTTAAGGGTGGGTTGGGAGCTTGGCCACCGCAGCTGTTGTTCGTTGAGCATTTATTGTGTGCCAGGCACTCTGCTGAGCACCCTACATGAGTCTGCCTCGCAAGGTAGGTTCGTGGCTACCCTCACATTACAGGTGAGAAATTGAGAGTCCAATACGTGTATGACTTGTGAAAACGCCCACAGCAAAACGTGAGAAGCTGGGGGCTGCCTGGGCGGCTCAGTCAGTTGAGCTTTTGACTTCGTTTGACACGTCATGATCTCACAGTCTGAGGGTTCGAGCCCCACTTCGGGCTCTGTGCTGACAGCTCGGAACCTGGAGCCTGCTTCGGATTCTGTGTCTCCCTCTCTCTCTGCCCCTTTCCCACTCATCTCCCTCTCTCTCTCTCTCAAAATAAAAACATTTTAAAAAGTTCTAAAACTGTCCTCCAGTCCATAAAGATCCCGGTGAGTTTAGTGGCAGCATCTAACCAACCCCCAGCTCGCCTGACTAGCAGTGAAAACCGAAAGAAAGAAAAATGAAACGTAAAGAAAGACGAGGAACATGTAGACGTGTCTAGGAAAACAAAGCGAGTGACTCTGTAGGTGACAAATACTCTGCCCGCAAATACCATTCTGAATATCATTTCAAGGTGACTAAACGCATGAACTTACGCAGTCCGTGGCGTTCACGTCGATGCCAGCGTCGAGCAGCATTCGAACGAGAGCCTCGTTCTGCTTGGTCTTTGACACCTGTTACAAACAACACGTCAAGAGGAGGTTCATTGACAAGCATTTTCTCCATCGTGTGCCTGGACTATTCTATTCCACAGGGTTTATTTTAATCCCAACACCTCTGTGCGTCTATGCATCTTTCTTAAAATCTCCCCGCCTCCTCATCCCATCCAGTACCAATCAGGTTCTCAGATTGTGGTCCTGAAGCAGCAGCGTGGGCACCTGGGAACTTAGAAATGCAAATTCGGGGGCCCCACGCCAGACCTGCCAAATCCTACTGAGGTTGGGGCCCAGGGACCGGTCTTTCCCTTCCTGGCTCAGAACCCACAGGCAACTGTCCCATTGCTCTGAGGACAAAAGCAAACTTCCCAGGCTGTCCTGCAAGGCCCAATTTATTTTGGCCTCTGGTCCCTGCCGGCTCACCCCGCCCTGAATGTTCCTTCCACCTAGAAGCCTCTCCTCTCTTCTTCTATTTTCAAAAAACAATTTTTTAATTTTATTTTAGAGAGAGAGAGACAGAGAATCTAAGTGGGGAGAGGGGCAGAAGGGGAGAGAGAGAATCCCAAACAGGTTCCAAGCAGAGCCCAACGTGGGGCTCGATCCCACAACCCTGGGATCATGACCTGAGCCAGAATCAAGAGTCTGACGCTTAACCAACTGAGCCACTCAAGAGCCCTGTTTAAAATTTTTTTTTTAATTTTATTTTTAAATCCATTTTTAGTATCCCAGCCCGAGCCCCTCTTCCTCCAGGAGGCTTTCCCTGACCTACCCGGCGAGATGAAATCTCTCTCTGGGCTCTCGTGGCACTGATCACCTCCCTGTATTACCTACTTCAGAGTAACTTTGCAGGCGTTTCTGCCGTAATTTATTACTGACGCGTTCTTCACTGCCCTCTAACGTGCTCTTGCACGGACAGGACTCCATCTGTTTGGTTCATCTCTGCATCCCTCACACCCAGTGCCTGCACGTAGTAGGGCCCCAGCAAGAGTGTGCCAGGAGGTCGAACAAAGAAACGAAATGAACCAGACACCTCAGAAATCCCCTTTTCCTACCCAGTTCCCCGAGACCCTGACCACAGGACAGTTTGGGCGTCACCCCAACATCCCATTGCCAGGGGAGCACGGCAGTCCTGGCTGTCCCGGAGGTCAGCCCTTAGCCATACAGGAAGCCCCACCCAGTTTTCTTCCCTGGTTATACTTCCCTCCTCTGTCAACATCTACACTGCCTTTCTCTGCAGTGACACAGTCCTTCCTGGTCCCTTCCTCTGAAATCTCCTCCCCGGTCGCTTATGCCGTACATATCTCAACTGCACAGATTCAAGCCCCATGAATAAGTACGAAAATATGCATTAAGAGGCGCTTATTCGTTCCAATTGGTATTTTTGCCAGGGCCTCTGGCTTTTAAACATCTGACCGTCTTAGAGAGCAGCGTTGTGAGTCAACAAATTCTGAACGAGTCTTTCTAATCGCCCTTGCGATCCTTTTGAAAATAAACAGAAGATCTCTCACCGGCCCTGAAACTGCAACTGCCATGTACTAAACACACAAGTAATTTTTCGAGAACTTTTCTGGGGTATAAACAGAGTATGTGTTTATCAGTGACTTACAGTTTTCTTTTTCCCATAAATCGAAGCATCAAAATCAACACTATCATATCTAATTCTGTAACACTTAAATACCCAAGGAGGTAACAATGACACTTCCAACTGGCAGATTTTGTCCCGGAGCCCATGTTAGCAAAGACAACTAACTAACATCCACGGTCTCTTAGCTGCAAGGAGAAGGGAGCTTGGTCATTTAACGAGTAAGTGACACATGTGTTGAGTCATCTCTCAAAGGTGGAACCAGCCACTAGGGAACCAGATGGAAAAAAGGGAATGAGTCAGCACAGAGCTGGTGTTCTTTGGGGGGTAAAAAGAGGGAGGCACCTGGGTGGCTCAGGCGGTTGAGCGTCCGACTTCGGCTCAAGTCATGATCTCACAGTTCATGGGTTCGAGACCCACGTCGGGCTCTGTGCTGACAGCAGGAAGCCTGCTTGGAATTCTCTCTCTCCCTCTCTCTGCCCTTCCCTGCTCTCACTCTCGCTCTCTCTCTCCCCCTCTCAAAATAAATAAATGAACATTAAAAAAAGAAAGAAAGAAAGAAAGAAAGAAAGAAAGAAAGAAAGAAAGAAAGAA